ACGAGCAGCTCACGAGCAGCTCACAAACTCACGCACTCACTCACGCACTCACTTACGCACTCACTCACGCACTCACTCACGCGCTTACGCTCACGGACTCGCACTCACGCTCACGCACTCACTCACGCTCACGCGCTCACGAGCAGCTCACTCACTCACGAGCAGCTCACGCATTCACGAGCACGAGCAGCTCACGGGCTTACGAGCAGCTCACGCATTCACGAGCACGAGCAGCTCACGGGCTTACGAGCAGCTCACGCACTCACGAACAGCTCACGGATCCACGAGCGTTCACGGGCTCACGAGCAGCTCACGAGCGGCTCCCGGGCGGCTCACGAGCGGCTCCCGGGCGGCTCACGAGCGACTCCCGGGCAGCTCCCGGGCGGCTCACGAGCGACTCCCGGGCAGCTGACGGGCGGCTGACGGGCGGCTCACGAGCAGCTCACGAGCGGCTCCCGGGCGGCTCAGGAGCAGCTCAGGAGCAGCTCGCGCACTCAGCTCACGCACTTCACGAGCACTCACGCACTTCACGAGCACTCACGCATGCACCCACCCATGCAAATCTTCACTACCAGCGTACGGATTTCGCTCCCTACCCATGAAAGAAGTAAGTACTCCTGCAGAAAAGAACGCCTCGCTTGACATCCATTCATCCATGCCTCCAACCAATTCAAAGATAGACTTCATCACAAACCCCCAATCCTCCCTCTCACCCTCTCAACTAACCTCCTTCTCAAATCCCTCCTCCTTCTCCCATCATCATCACCATCTCCAGCATCGCCCTTATCCTCCCCATCTCCCCTCCTACTCCTCCTCCACTCCTCGCGAAACAATTCCCCCAGTTGTAAATCCGCAAGCACAATCTGTCCGGAATTAAAGGCATCGAAAATCCTCGCGTCCGATCGCTCCAACAACTCAATTCTATCTTGCTCTTCCTCCTCGCTCTCGACAGCAGCAGCCTCCGTCCCGCTAGAGTTTGAATTCAAATTCAACCTCTCCATCTCCACCCCTTCCTCCCTAACTCTCTCCTCACTCCCCCTCACCCCCCTCTCCTCATCCTCGACCCCCTGCACCCTCCTCGTCCTCCTCCCTCCACCTCTCTCCCCACCAGCAACAGAAGAAGAAGAAGAAGAAGAAGAAGCACCCTCCCCCAAAACCCTCTCCCGAACCCTCTTCACGGCACAACAAAGCACCTGCAACCCCACAACCAGCAAATCCAATCCCACAAGCCCCATGCACCCCCCAGGATCTTCCTGTCCAATAAAATCCAACACCAACCCGCCATGTAAATATCCCCGCCTATCCACCCCACTTCCCACTCCCCTCCAAACATGAAACAGAACACTCAAGCATCCCACCAAACACACAATCCCCAAAACTCTCGTCCCGGAAGGCGGGGCGGGGAAAAGTGGGTTTTTGGGCGTGAGATAGATGAATTGGATCGCGGAGCGAAGGAGTAGAAGGGGGGTGGAACAACTATTATTTTTCTTGAAATTAGTATACATATTCAAATCCAACATATTCTCAACATCCTCCTCCTCATCATCCACTACATAGTATGATCAAGGGAAAAGATGGGAAAAAAAAGATCAAACCTACTCGAAATAATACCCAACCCCCACCTCAGCAAAAACCAAAACATCCAACCCTTTCAATAAATCTTCGAGTAAATGCACTCGGCGTTGATTGAAATTCTCGAGATTTCGTTTCCTGCGAGCGGTGATTTGTGAAGGAGTCAGATTTCTTGTCGTAGTAGCGCCTGGTTGTTGTTGTTCTCGTTGATCTTGTTCATGTTGGGGCTGATTATGGTGGGTGGAAACATCATCGGCGTAGTTGGGTGCGGAAGGCGCGGAAGTGGAAGGCGCGGAAGAGGAGGGGAAAGCGGATTCATCGTTCATGATTGTGGTATTTGTTGGGAAGAGGGGAGTTGGAGGCGCATTTTTGAGGAGGGAATTCCAGTCGTATTTTTCCGGTCGGGGTGGGAGACGAGTGGATGATGTTGGTGGTGATGTTGATGTTTGATGTGGGACGGACATTCACATGAAGATGATGATGATGATGCGCGGAGGTCGGGCCGAAGCGGACGGGGCCGTGGCTAGTCATCTTGGTGGGATGGATTGGAAGGAAGGTACGTCTTGGCGTGTTGAAGACGATTGATGTAACATTTCGAGAACAAGACTGGCAGATTGAGTAATCTTCTTCATTCAATATACAGCAACCATCAGTCCTGCGTAATTCGATACCCTTGTTCAAATCACCCCTCTCCCATCAATCCCCGAACGCCATCGCTCACAATAACACCACCCTATCAATGCATCTGATCCCTCATCGTGTTCTTCCTCATCTATCCGCACCCAGCATCCCCGAGATTTGCAAACACAAGTCCAGAACAGTCAAATGCTCATCACWCCCATCCACCAACCTCTTATCCGTCTCGGAAAAGGCACCCATGATGCGATTCTTGGCGCCGTTCCCAATCGCCTCGTTCCAGAGGACAATCTTATCATACAGCTGGGTGACGATTTGGGTGGCGGACCTAGTCTTGATGTTAGTGCAAGTTCCGCTGTGTTCGATTGTTCAAGACATACCATCCTTCCGCGACGAGATCCTCCACCGCCTGGGAGATGGGGGTGAAGGGAGCGGTGGTGTTCTTTGACTTGGGCTGTAGAGATCCCACCAGACGATCAATAGTGGCATCCGGAATGACACCCGCAATCTCCGAAATGGTGGCCACGGAAATGGGAGTCGTCTGCACATCGACATCCATGGCATCCTCATTCCCCACCTCCTTCTTCTTCTTCTTCGACGTCTTCCCCGTCGTACTCCCCACCAAGCGACTAGCACTCTGCAAGAAAGTGATGGCTTTCCGCAAATCACCTTCACTGCACCTCAACAACGTCTCCACCACCCCGTCCTCCAATTGGACCCCTTCCAAGCGTGCGATATCCTCAATCCTCCTCCCCGCATTCCCCTCATCCAAACTCTTGAAGCGGAATTTACTACACCGGCTCGCTAGAGGATCGATAATCCTCGTGACATAATTGCAAATCAAACAGAAGCGGGTGATTTTCGAGTACGTCTCCATTGTTCTCCTCAACGCACTCTGCGCATCCTGCGTCATGCTATCCGCTTCATCGAGGATGATGATCTTGTAGGGAGGACAGGAGTATTTCTTCTTGTACTCCACTCCCGCGGGTCCAGCAGGAGGGTTGGAAAGCTGCATTCGCGCGAAATTCTTCACTTTTTCCCTCACAATGCTGATACCCCGCTCATCCGACGCGTTGAGCTCCAATACCCGCGTTTTAATCAATTCCGGGCCGTAGAGTTGTTTGGCGAGAGCGAGCACCGTCGATGTCTTTCCCGTTCCGGGCGGGCCGTAGAAGAGCATGTGCGGGAGGTTGGCGGATTGCAGGGTGCGACGGAGGACGGTGACGGTGTGATCTTGCGCCGTGATATCGTYGAGGGACTTGGGGCGGTATTTCTCCACCCTATCAAACAGATTAGAGGATGAGAAGACATTGGTGGGATATTGATGGTACATACCATGGCTGTTGTCGATTGGATTCGACCGGTGTGGATTTCGATGAGGAAGCAGCGGCGGCTTTGGCGTCGGCAGCGGCCTTGCGGGCGCGAATGTCGAAGAAGGACATGGTGGGATGGAGGTGATTGTCGAGATGGAAAGCGGAAAGTGGAAAGTTGGGGCGCGAGCTCGACGCGACGCGAGTGACGCGTTGGGTGGAGACATGACTTGTAACATTGATGGATTTCGATCAAATTTTCAACCGACAGGTCAATCGCCGAGTCAATTGCATGACAAGACATCAATTTACTCATGAAAACCTTCAAGCTCATACATGAGCCCGCCCAATTCGATAAACTCACCCTACGACTCCCAAACCCAACTAGTTCTGCATTCAAAGCTGACAACAAAAGCCTCCAAGATGGTGACTCGTTCAAGCCAAGCTAGATTTGCATGGAGTCAAGCTGTCCGAGGAGGCATTCCATTCACGAAGAGCGAGCGAGGAAAGATTATCGTTGCTGAATGTCCATGGGACCGCATCGAGTCAAGGGGATTTAATACTGTTGTTACAACTGAGTAAAATTGTCATTCCCAACCCCACCGTGTCATTGAATCGTGATAAAAGTACATGCCTTGGCTGAAGATATCATTTCTTCTTCCCATCAATTCCATCCTCAATTCCATCCTCAATTCCATCCTCAAGTCCCAGACCTCGAACATGTTCAATTCTCCTGATCAGACAACTCAATCTTATCCCAAGTTGTGATCAACGATCCAGAACTAGATTGCATACCGCCGTCCTCACGGAAAGGTTCCGTAGGTCGTGCAGCGCTCCCCATCATCCAGGAAATGAAAGCAGGAGGAGCCCAGCTACCGATGAAATCATACGTAGCGCTACCTCGACCAACATGCAGCACCCGAGGTGGGTTTGAAGCCCGCAGAGTATCAAACAMACAGTCATGAAGCTTCCGTATCGGCGTCGGCTTGAATCTCGGAGCAGCACCTTCACGCTTTTGTTTCGCAGTCAGGGATGGGATGTCTACACTCCCGACTTTGACGTGAGTGAATGAGATACCGTCCTCTTTGAGCTCTGCAGCGAGAGAGGTGCTGAATCCTCGCAATGCGCCGTATACCGTGCTTTCGATGGCATGGTGAGGGAGTCGTAAAACGGGAGCCACTGATGGAGTCAATAGAAGAACATTGGCGTGATGTTTTGTGACGGCAGGGAGGAGGAGCTGTGTGGTAGCAATGCAATTCAACACTTTGGCATTGAGCACATGACTCCACTCCTCCGAGCTGATCTCCGCGATCTCTACCGGGGCTGATTGTGTGTCGGGAACCAGTACCAGACCCTTCAAGATCAATTTATGAGGTCGAGCTCCATCAAAGACAAAGTGAWCCCTGCTGAGGAGATTGTGCAGCTTCGCCAGTTGGGTTTCCGCCGTATATGGATCGACCAAATCCAAGGAGAGAGGGATCAGATCCGCACGGGAATGTGATCGAACGTAGTGCTCATCCTGCAAGGTATGGCAGACCACATACACGATATGTCCCCGCCGCTCCAGATCCAAACATACGGAACTCGTCATGGGATTCGCTACTGCGCCTGCCACAATCACCACATCCGTTCTTGCCCCACTGACCGTCCTATGTGCCCGCCGCTTCCGTCTTGAATTCCTTCGGTTCGCGTAGTGGATATATAGGCCCACGGAACCCGTGACCAAGAAGGCGGCGCCCGCGGCTGTGATTGCCTTGTTTTTGAGAACCCATCGTTCGATCGTTTGCGCGGTGGTAGGCGGTGGTGGCGGCGGACGGGCATGAACCAGTGGCGGGAGGGTGTGGAAGCGATCGCGGAGAGAATCTGCTACAACGTCAAAGTGTCTCTCGACGCCCTCGGCAATCTCGTTGAACTGGGCTCGCGCATAGTTGATTATGGCTTGTGCGTCGGTCATAATTGTGTGTTGTTACTCAAGAGAAGCTGGATTGAACAAGATACGAGACGTTGGGTGAGGTGCAAAGTGGGGTTTCACGTGGCATCTTAGTCAGCCGTGGACATGTGAATGTTTTTCAACTCGCTTCCTTTTCTACTCGATAGCTAAGCCCATCGATGCAATTTTCCCTTGCCTCGCTCGCCCCATACAGATACACTTGTACCATCCAAAATGGGTGTTGTGGGCAGCATCCTTGCCTTTCCCCGGGAAGCTAGCTACAGCCAGATTGCCCTGCAATGACCACTCAGTGTGCTTGTTGGCCATCAAGATCTGCGACGCTTCTTGTATTGGCTAGGCTCGGTGGTCTTGCTCGATTCATGCCGGAAATATTTCGCCAAACCCCGATAATTGCAATAACAGCACGTGACTAGCGCCTGACTCCCCGCAGACAAAGTGTCGGTGTCTGAACGGAGTGTATGGAATGTCTTCCTGCAGGTCGATTTCGGACACACCATCTGCTCCGTCTCTGATCTCGCAGCCTGTAGTGCCGCCGTCACCGCCGCCGCTSCCCTCTCTCGCTCGTCCTTGGCGATTGCAGTCCCGAGCTCCGCATTTACAACCATAATCTGGAGAAAAGGGCTCACYTTTCCCTTGTAGAGACCCGCGCAGCGCGCGGCCCACCTCAAGATTGATGGTTGCATCTTGTTTGTGGGGCCCGGCGCGCTGGCCATCAGTGTCGCGGCCTCCACCATCTGCTGAACATCGGCATGGTACAGACATATCTTCGCCTCATCCATGGCAAGCTTTTCGAGACCGGCAATGGAGAAGTAATTTCCGATGATGCACATCTTGACGTGGAATCCCAGGTCTGAACAGTCCACGGCGGGTGATGTCTTGTAGCCGCCGGTGTAGATGTAGGAAACCAGAGCATCTACTTCTTCCTCCGAGTAGACGGACAGATCGATCCTTGATTCGATGCTTTCCTAAAGGCAGACGATCAGCGAATTGAAGGACACTCTGCAGCGATGAGGAGACTTACTTTGAAGGGACCGAAGCAAGATTTCTCGAGCACGGAAGAGATTGCGGTCAAGACGATCTTGTGGACTTTCCACTCGCGCGCATTGCATGTGATCACAAATTCCGAGTACTTGCCGTCACGGAGTCTCTTGACACCAGCGCATAACTCGAGGGCCTGGTTGTCCATGGTGGAAGATGGTGTGTGGTGGGGGTTTTGAGGTCGAGGTTTGACACGAAGTGGTTGTTGGTGAAATGGGTCTGGGGTGGTTGATGTTGAGGTGGAGATGTGGCAACAAGTCCGGTGCTGGAAGAAGTTCGGTCTAGGTCCGACTAGCGTGGTGTGAGTGAATTGAAGTATCAGTGACGTGGCTTGTGTCAGAAATGAGGATTTCATGAGGCAGCTCGTGACATTCTTGTGGCCGAGTCCAGTTATCCTCTGCGATGATTGACGAAATCGGAACATGAAAACATCCTTTTCCATCATCCATCTCGCGAGTAGACTACTCCACTGCCCTACTGTGAAAGCCAAAAGTCAAAGTACTCAACCAACCCCTTCAAAGACTGCTCCTTGACCCAACCTAAACACATCAAAGATCAGCTTCACATCCCAACCTCTCACTCTCTCTCTCTCTCAAAACACTCACGCTCATAAGGCACATTCAGATTCGCCCTCAAAGCAAACCCATGCGCCACTCCATGAAACAACTGTAAATTATACTCCTTCCTCCCCTCAATCAAAAGATCAATCGCCTGATTCCGACTCTCCGTCCCAAAAGTATGATCAATTTCCGCGCAGCTCAGAAATAACGGGGCCTGCAAATTTCGGAAATGATGTTCTTTTAAAAAGGCTGGATGGGCGAAGCCGCCGACTTGACATGTTCCGTCGGCGAGGRAGTTGCAGACGTAGGGGGCGCCGAAGCAGTATCTAAGAAATAAGTTAGAGGAGAAGTTCGTAAAGGTTGGTGGTTTATGTTGCTTACCCTACGCAGGCATACTTGGTCTCGGGTTTACCATACAACTCTTTGACTTTTGCCGTCCATTCCGGCACCTTTTGATCTGCAAACTCGGCATACTTGGTTTTCCAGGCCTCGAAATCGAAGCCGGGTTTACTTGCACTAGGGCCGTCTCTATGAAGGAAGATAGGGTCCTATATTATAAAGGTCAGCAGATCAAACTCCCTTGATACAACATATCTATCTTACATTTTGAAAGTAATCGAGTCCAAGAACCAAATATCCAGCATGTAAAAAACCCCTCCAAAAATTAGCATGCAATCAAATCAATCATGGGCGAAGGATATACTTATCAGCAAATTCATCCATCACAAGCTGCGCATTCGTAAACATGCCATAAACATCCGCATAATAAAACAGCACATTCCCATTAGCTTTCCCCTCTTCAGGCTGCACAACATAAGTATCAACATCAGCAATGACTTCAAACGTTCCCCTCGGCTCCCCACTATGCAAATGCCCTTTCAAACAACAGGCACCACTAGGCAAAGCCAGCCAAGGGACGTGAACGTTTCGCATGCCGTTGGGGTGATCGGTGGTTTGGACGAGGCCATGGTCGGTTGTGATGTCTTGGTCTACTACCATGGTGATTATTGAGAGGGGTATGGTTTGCGCCAGGAAGGGCGATCTGTGGAGCTCTTCCGTAGCTATATGCCGGGGTTCTATAGGCTGACTCGTGGACTGCATTAGCTGCTGCGCTTTTCGGTGGTAGCTCCGGGTAAGCTTGTACTGGGTATACGTCACTCGGGGTGATGATAGTATTATTGGATGTTGGCGGAGTAGTTGCATATACCATTGTGTGCAATGGTTGATGATGTTCTTCGTCTAATGTTCAGCACAACGGGCGGCCTGACTTTCAAGACAGACGATGCTTCACTCGTGGATTCATTGGGCGCGCTAGTCCTGGAATATAGTTTTCCGACGGGAAAACCAAGCATAACTCCTATAAGTTATTTTGTCAGATAGAGATGGCAGATCGAGACTATGCTGTCGACATGGCCATATAAGCCAGCCTTGTTGCAAGATTGAGGAAATTCAAATCCACTTACAATCATTCTCCTCTTTTCGCATCGACCCAGAGAAAAAGCTTTACGAGAACATTGATCAAGCGCAACTACAAAGCGATGCTGATTTGTTCTTGCTCACATATGGCACAGCGTTGCATCCGTATGCCTGCAGAACTCCTTTCTTTCGCCATTTGCTCATGTCGGAGTAGAGACATCAAAGTCAATGCGAAAGGCCGAACAATTAGCACCGCTTCGTAACACAGCATGCCCGATCGGACTAGGTATGCAACTGATTAGTCGTACTTTAGCATACGATGAGCTAAACCATTGTCAGTAGGCAAACAACGACTCATGCTCGGACATAGAAACCCTAAGATCGTAGGGATAATCCACAATCACGACAAACATCTTAATCACCTCTTCAGCAGGATGCTGTCTCCAGCAGTACGGTGTGAAGAATCCAGAAATGGAGGATCTGTTATTGATTGATGCCAGGTCATTTTCCGGGCGGGGCTTTTGGACATCGCTCCCTCCACCAGGCCTCGATAAAGTCTTCTTCCTTTCCACAGAGGGAGAGTCGGATGAAGCAGCATTCAGACCGGCCAAGTTGTACACGCCGAAAAATTCGAAATCGTGGGCCTTGCGCAAAAACAAAGACCCGGCTTCCAGCAGGCATGGCGTAGTATCTGGTGCGATTACTGCTGCTCTATACCATGCATGTAAGCTGTGCCGGGTAGGTATGGTCCAGGTCCAGTTATATCCAGGAATATCGGCTCATCTTCCCACACGCTGATAGCTCGCACGATTGGCAGGCCGAGCTGGACTACTGTCTCGATTTTTTTTATTTTTTTGACAAGCAATCTTGTGGTCTTTTGTGTCCACGCTAGGAGCTAAGCCGTTATATAAGACGAGTTCCTTAGATTCGCATGTTGAATGAAGCTCGATTGTGAATACAAACTCTTCGAATGCTTTCAGGAATCAATATCAATGTTGGTGTTCAGGGGAGAAGATAAAAGGGAGGTCTCATATTAAAACCTTGCAAAACATCACCTAGTTAGCAAGATCTAGTCCGTTCATCGTAATCCTAGGTTTCCTACCCGCCCTCATTCTACATATTATTATATTCCCAAAGACATCAACCTTCCCATCATTAACATCCACCTATAAACCCCCGTGTGGCATTAATGAGCACGAGGGGAGGTACCTTACATACTCATCTATCCATCCCTCGAACCGACCCATAAGATCGTTATCTCAATCCTCAGGTCCTCATTCACAAAATTCTTCTTCTTCGCATAGTACGAGATGATAGGTACATAGGTACACGACAAAGAGGAGAGAGAGAGAGAGAGAGAGAGAGAGAGAGAGAGAGAGAGAGAGAGAGAGAAGTACAGCAGAAACGAATATTCCTCCCCAGCGTCAACGAGAGATACGTAGACAACTAGGTAGTTGCTAGCAGAGCTTCTTCGTGGTTTATGAAACGGAGAGAGAGAGAGAGAGAATCCCCCTCTTCACAATGCGTACTGAATGAACTACTCTCGTCCGGATATAAGCCATCTGATTGCTAAGTATCCTCCTCATGGAATTGTATTTCTGAGATGCGTGATACTGTTCAACAGCAGCTCTGCTAGGATACTATTCCTATTACCTCTCTCTCTCTCTCTCTCTCCTTCCCTCACTCAATACAGCTTTTCAACCAGCTGCTTCACCGCATCATACAGCGGCCCACTCTCCTGCCTCGTAGCCGTCGAGACGATAAAATGCACCTTATCCCTCCCAACACCCTTCTCCGTCAACGTGGTCTTCAGACCGAGATCCTGCACCAGCTGCAAAATGGCATCCCCAACAGCAACACCATCCTTTCTATCATCTCCCGACCTAGGGATACCGATGAACGGCGCCGCCCTCGCCAGTTGCCCGGCATCGTCCGCAGAGCTCTCGGCTTTGAGCTTCACGACGTGCCCGAGAGTCAGACATGAGGTGATGCCGTGAGGGATTTGGAAGGGGGAACCCAAGGCGTATCCAAGGGTGTGGGAAAGACCGAGGCCGCCTTGGAAATTCAAMGCCAGGAAGCCCAGCGATGCAAAGGCCGCGAGTTGCAGCTTTGTGATGACCTGCTCGTCTTTGGGGTCCTGCTTGTACTTTTTCAAATACGTGAATAAATCTCCGGCGGCGATAAGACACATTTGTCTTGCCGGCATCTCTGTCGAAGTGGGGTGGTAGAGGAGTCTGTGTGGGGCCCGTCAGGTCAAATATCAACACCATCAATCGACAAGATATCATGATCAAAACTCACTCCATGGCATGATCCATTGCTCGCATCCCCGTGCTCATCCACAGCCACGGGGGAGTCTCGAGCGCAAACTTGCTGTCATAAATAATGACATGCGGCGCGACCTCGGGATGTCCAATGCCCGTCTTCATGCCATCTGCATTGGTATATCCCGCCCCAAACGTGCACTCGGCAGCACTCAAAGTGGTGGGAATGGTGATGTGATACAAGAACTTGCCTGGCTGCTTCTCATTCAAGCGATAGCTGATGGCTTTGGCCGAATCAATCGGACTTCCCCCACCAATGCTGATGATGGTATCGATGGATTCATCCCGCATGACCAGCTCCGTCGCCTCATCCAGTTGCGCCACAGGCGCATGTTGGCCAATCTTGCTAAAGGTGCCTGCATGTCGGGATCCCAACAGTTCTTGCACCTGCTTGATCAATGACGTCTTGTTCGCCAGCGAGGAGCCCGTCAGGATAAAGGCCTTGGAAGTCTCGTTTGGGAGACATTTCAGGAGATGTTCCTTCACGCTCCCCGATCCATAATGCAGACGCTGCAAATGCGTGGGTTTCCACAGACCCTTGAGCGGGTTCTGGCTCGATGCTACTTTCGATGAGGATGATTTGTACCGTTTTTGAAAGCTGGATGGAAAGGCGACGACTGACCTTCCGAAACTGCCTGGGAATCGAAGACGCCTGCCATTGTGAAGGGTGGATGTGGTGGGGAGATTGCGTGAGACTGAGGGAGCCATGCCCGCCTTGTGAAGCAGACGTGAGCCCCGCGAGGAGGAGTAACAGTGACGCAATTCCAGCAACTTCGGAGTTACCGGAGTCATCAAGGTTGGAGATGGGAGCATCGTGCAGGTCCTGGCATATGGCATTGCGGAGGACTCGCCGGTGGTAATGACCTACTGGACCTCCATAGACAGTGAGATTGGTAAGAGGATGTGCGGCAACCAGTCGTAGACATCAGACCAATGATGGAAGACCGGCCTTTGAGAGCAGTTGGTGGTCCAAAGATGCGGAGTGTGGAGACGGAAGATGCGGGAGGAGAGGAACGAAGCGCCAATTCGGATTCGCCTGCCCTCTCGCCCGAACACATGCTTGGGTTATCGTCTGATCGCGCATGAAAAGGTTGAAAATGTCCAGAAGCCTTGTCCGATTCAACTCAAAACTTTGATGAATTCATTGAACTACTCGACGACCAAAATGGGGTATCCTCAACATTTGTACATGCAATCATCATCACCATCACCATCCAAGACCAAGACCAAAGCTACTTTATGCCTTCATCGATGATGAAGCGGGATGCCCGACTCAACACTCCCCTCCCTATCACTGACGTTCTTCTTCTCATGCAGTGAATCGCCGTTTCTGTTCTTGGCCCTCTTGGTCTCTCCARACACAATCGACGCAATATAAGCAACGCCAAACACACCTCCAACAACACCATAGACGATGAGCCAGTGCTGTTTGGCRTTGTTCGCCAGTCGCAAGCCGAGGCCACCATTGATGATTCCCAGAATGATGGCAACACGGCCGACTCCCAAATGCGCAAAGGAGAAGATGCCTCGCTTGCCCGTCTTCTGGAATGATCGGTGGTGGAGGAGACCTAGGACGGGTTGGAAGACGAGGAGGGCGAAGATGATGATGCCGATGATGGGATGGTGGGTGGTGATCAAGTTCCTGCAGGTTGCAATGTAGACTCCCAACCCAAAGGCGGCCGTGTAGATCAACCAGCCAATGATCTGGATGGCAGCATGCACCCAAGGAAGTGCGGGAAAGTTTGCGACTCGGATGATGATACCACCGATGGGGAAAATCAGGGTGAAGGCCACGGCAGCCATGACTCCGTGAGCCATGAGGATCATCGGGAAGTTCTTCGGAATCTTGCGTCCGCCGCCCGAAGACGATGAGACGACGGTTGTGGGAGCAGTGGCGGTACCCGTACCGGAGCCCCCGTTGGCAGCGGTGCTGACAAAAGGGTTGATGCTGCTGCCTCCTTTGGCGGTGGACATGTCCCAATTGAATGCACTGTACAGGTCGTGCTGCACAATCGACTCCTCGACGTCGCCGGAATTGAGGGCGGGGCCGGTTTTCGCGGCGTAGATCCAGCTTACACTCGATTGGGTAAAATCCTAGGRGAAAGGTCAGTCGATTGAAGGACTCCTGTGAAACAATGTCATTGGGACTCACCATGCTTCCTCCCGTCCACGAGTTACAGCTGGTGCACTTGACATTGGCGACCATCTTGCCATCCTTGATACCAGAGCCTTCCAGCAACGTGACCTGTGCTTGTGTGTCGTGCAACGGCATGACCTCCCCTTTGCCCAATCGGGGGGACAGGGTGACATTCTGTCCATCGGCCGAGGAGTAAATGATGAACATGTTGGAGCCCGACATGCCCTTGCCCTGGCCCAAGGCGACCCATGAGTATGTTGACGGCGCAGAAATCTGGAAGTAAATGTCGCCGCTTCCGGAGCTGGCCGTGGCATCGGGAACGTTCAACGAGTAACAAAGGTTGGAATCAGAACTCGGGCAAACTTGAGATACCGCGGCGATGGCGGAGGAGCCTGGAGGGTTGTTCAGCATGGGGTGACGAACAGCATCCCATCAACGACATGACATACTCAAGCTCGCAGTCAATAGAGCGACGGCGAGGGAAGACTTCATCTTTGCGTGCGTACCAAAAAGCCGACGCGGTGGTGTGTAAGAGGGACAATTTCAAGAAAACCACGAATGGTCGCTCGCTGTCTAGTTAAATACAATCTCAGCAAGGTCTGGCGTCTTGGACGATGGAAGTTGCAGGTGCAATGTCGGGCAAGGGCAAGGGACGAGGAGCTAGGGTGCGCGGCCTGCGCCTCCTATAAACACGACGACGACGATCGCCTTTCTCTCACACACATCCGTCTGTGGCCACTTGCGGCAGACGCCATGCGGATGCACCCATCATGAACCGCGGGGTTACTTCGATTTCTTTGACATGGGGGGTGACTGGGGTGATCAATGCGCCGACAGCAGCAGGTGAGCATCTCGGCTCGGATGGACATGGCTGATTGRTCGATGCATGGGGACAAAGGAACTCCCACCGCGTCCCGGAACATAATGATGATGATGATGATGGTGGCATGCAGGAAGATTGGTGAGCGAGTTGTTGGACCGGGCGAGTCCTTGGTGCAATCATTAGGTGTGCAATCATGGGGAGATGATCTTGGGAGGTGTTCCTAACAATTGATCAACCTCAAGCGCGATGGATTCGTCGGCAGACTAATGCCGGCACGATGRTTGGCTCGCTAAGCTCACTGGGCTGAACCGGCGGGTCTGGGCCGTTGCTGGGAGTGCGGAGCATTTCATCGGACGGATTGAAAGCGATCCGGGGAAAGGCAAAAAAACTGGATCGTGGGACTTGCTTGTTCTCACATCACATGGCATATCAATCATCAATCATCACATGTCTTGAGACGTGTCACTCATCATCCATTTACTGTGGTGGAGAGGGGACATAGCAGACGGTGGACGGGAGGGTTCTGACATACAGTTCATCACTAAATGGCGGAGACTACCCGACATGCCAATTCCAGCCCGGCAGCCCATGGCGCAACCTTGTCCTCGTCGGACAGTGGCCATGTCTAGCGCGTCACAAGAATACTCACACAGTAGGTACATTCCTCACCTTCGGTGCCCGTCTCCCACATTCCCACTGGAGATTGTCTGCATCTCGGGCCTATTGTCCTTCTTCCTTCCTTCATACAACAATCCCGCTGCATTCATTTCTTATTTCTGTCCACCGAATATCATTCAATCAATGCATTCGTCATCAACGGATCATGTGGCGTGCACGGATGGAGTTTCATCTCATGGCGTCGTTGCGTGGCTCATCAAGTTCCACCTCGAAATACGACGACAATAGTCATGGAGTGGCGCATGTGTTCGGCCGCTCGTCCTAGGGCCAGCAAGCCAGCATGGGGAGTTTGCTCGGTTGGGTTGCTGATGACAAGGACTCCCTACCTTAACCCTGTCTCATCCACGCGAGACACGTGCGACTGCGGCTGCGGCTGGGTAGCTCTCGTCATCCATCTTTGAGAGGGCTGATGAGATCTCAATGCTGGGTTCGTAAAGCCGTGATGCATCTCCGGACTGTGTGTGGTACGTACAGCCTCCTCACGTTTACTCGTCGTGACTCGTCCTCGACATGGGCGAGTTGATGAACTCGAAGGCTTCCAATCCAACCTTCAAATTCGACAAGCGAGAATGGACCGACCCAGAAGTGATTTTTAATCATTGAGGTGATTTCAATCATCGAGAGGAAGGTGTAGCCGTAATTTTGTCCATTGGCATACACTTGCCAAGAGTGAGTACGCACATGGACGCATACCGCCAAGTTCCAATGCCAATCATGGTGCCCTTTGAACTTTCGTATCTTTTACGATAATAGCACCTGTGGAGTCGAGACTACTGGTGATAGACTCTACTGCATGGCAAGGTCTAGGATCTGGCGCTACGAGAACTGCAGTTCTGCTACGGAGAAATAGTCATACGGCAGCTTGCGACGATCAAGTGTGTACACTTTTGTAGCGCGTTCCAACTCCTCACCTACCAAGGCGGCATCCATATCCCCTGATCTCATGGTTTTGAAGAACTGGAAACTGGCTTGGCAGTGATCCGAGTCGAAAGTCCTTGCCGGTCCGCCCAAGTCAAACTTTCTACACAGTCAAGCTGCAGTCGAATCGATTCAAATCACCGGCAAGGTCTTCTGATACCGACCTTTGTATGGAGTGCAACTCTGTCACATCCCAGCTGGTTTGGGAAAGTAACTCTAAGGGCAAAAAGACGCCCTACCTCGAGCAAAACATTGATCACAAGGAGAGTGAGCATCGCCGATTTGATGCAAAAACATCCCTGATATTCTATCCGGCGCTATCCAGGCCAGGCAGCTCCATCCGAAAAGCCTACTTCTCTCCTCTTCTATTCATCGCCTGCCTTACTCCCGAACACGACTCTGACGCCCTTGGTCGTCTTGGTCGCTCTTGGGACGAACACATCCCTCGCCTAGATGTCGGTTAGCCATGTCCGAGGCCATACGATAGTTACGTCCACGCATAGCTCACCATCTCAACATCTTTTCGATCCGTATGGTACAATCGGGCCTGCAAAGCCAATGGACTGCGAAAGAATGTCGCCATTGCAACAAAGAGCTCGAGATATRCCAGTTGCATTCCGACGCAACTTCTCATGCCCTTCCCAAACGAGACATTGTATCGTGACAAGGCCTTGCCGTCTGGAGCGCGAGGATCTCCAAGCCACCGCTCAGGTATGAATGAAAAGGAGTCCGGGAAGATGGCCTCGTCATGGGAGACGTCGTAGTTTGACATTCCCACCAGGCTTCCGGCCGGGATCCTCCACTCCCCGTACATCAAGTCACCGCCATCATACGCTCTACTTCTCACCTCGGCAACCCCTATCATCACATGTCAGCGAAAGCGTCCCAACTCCAGGTCAGACACGAACCATAAGCGAGCCGAATAGCTTCTTCAATACAAGCCGACAAATACGGCAACGTAGAGAGAGCATACCAATCAGGCATCTCAGCGGGATTGGGAATGGCAGCGACAAGTTCTTCTACCAACCGATCTCGCACAGCAGGCTGATCAAAAATGTGATAGCAAGCCAGCATCAACGTCCGAGCCACCGTCTCTCCGCCCGCACCCACCGCCGCAGACGCCTCTTGAGTCAGTCTATCCACCGTGGCCTCTTGCTTGGGCAAGTTCTGCTGAAGCATAGATCCAATCAACGTATGATTATCAACCTTGCCATTCGCATGCGCAGCTTGCACTTCCATCGTCGCTCGCTCCATAATCTAGTGAAAATGTCAGCCCATGACGAGTACTCCTACTCCTTCCAGGATGAAAGAAAAGGTAACATACTTTCCGAGAGTCCAAAATCGGCTTAATCGAAGGCATAACACTCGCCACCACAATCTCCGGCAGAGAAAACACCAAAGTAGGCAAAATCCCAAAATGTAAAAAAACCTTGGAAGTCTCCAACATCCTCTCCGTCGCGCGATTATTCGGCGACGTAAACTCAGGACTCTCAATCGTTTTCGGATCCACCCCAAACGTCGTCGTCATAACAATATCCGTTGCCAAACATTCCCACATATGGCCCAGATTCAAAATCTTGCCCCTCCGGGAATGAACATATTCTTTCTGCAACCTTGCCAAAAGTCTATGACACATTTTCTGCACTTTGGGTCCCACATCMGCAATTCTGCGTTTCGCGAAGAAAGGATTCAAAGCATTTCTCCGCGAGCGATATAGAGCTACATCATTCGTTCCAATAACAGAATCATCAGCGCGGAATCTTTTGGCCCAATTCGCCAATTTTCGGACGGGACGGGAGGGAGCGTAGAGGGTTTCGTAAAAGGAGGAGTCTTTGATGTGGAGTTCATTGGGGTTGATGCGGATTATGGGACCGTATTGTTCGTGCCATTTTCGGTGGGCGAAGGGCAGTTGGCCGCCTTCTCCGTGGAAGATGTCGTGGTAGATTTCGGGCCAGTAGGTTGCTGCGGCGAGTTTGGGACCCGGGAATTGGGAGAGGGGGTGGAAGTAGAGGCGTTGGATTGTGAGGGTTATTTGGTAGAGGAGGAGGGATGTTAGGATGCCTACTATGGCTGCTGATAGTAGTTCTAGGTTCGCCATGTCTTTGCTTGGGTTGTTGTGGTATATCTGCTTGGAGCAGGAAATTCAGTATGCGCTGAGCTTAGAGGGAGCTGGATATATCTATCTACACCTCAGCTCTACACGTGGCGAAGGATGGATCGTGGGTCACACGGTAATCCTCCATGCAGCATGAGCTCCACGAGAGGTAGGGATGCTAATATATTTGACGAACTCATTCCAGACGATGAGAGGAGTACTCCCAGGCAGGAAAATTTATGCTCGACTACATTGCAGCCGCAGCTCTTCATTTTTAGGTACTTCATATTGCTAGCATACCTGATTAGTAGAATCGAAGTACCGCAAAGTCTTGAGGAGAGAGCAATTTGACTAATGATGCTGACACAGGTCTTGCGTGTGTTTGGTAGCACTGCATGCATATGCGGGTTGAGAAGCTCCCCAACGACAATTCGCTAAGCGATCCTGCTCCACTCWATCTTGTGCTCCACTCTACTTTGAGGGGCGGTTGGACAGAGATTGTCTTCTTGACCTGTAGTCTGTCTTGAACAGAAGAACGGTGTTGAGGAAATCCGCATCTTGGGGAATGGCCACGATGGTAATCCTGACCGCGAGCCTGATTCATGGGCTGGTAGATGGAGATGCTGCCTCGGTGGTGATAGCGCTCGCTAGTCGCCCGCCTCTGCTGCGGTTGAATGGAGGGTGTGCAAATCGCTAGGTTCGATATCGACTTCCGTTCCGAGAGTACCTACTGCTGGTATCGTAATCGCGCGGTTCGTATCTATCCTCCCAGCAGCAACTCGGCATTGCCATGATAGAGATTCTCAATTTCTTGACCACTACACATCTCTCTGACTCCCTCATCCATCCGACCCAGCAAAGCTTCCACACCATTCGCTCTCGTAAAGGGAAAGTCGCTCCCGTACATCAGTCTGGAATGATCAACCCCAACACCCTGCAGCAAACATTTGATTTGACTTRGGAACGCGGCGAGTTTAGATCATCGCGCCCGAGCCGGTCGCTTGGGAGCAACAATAAACCGCAGGTCATCCCACTGCGAGTTGGTGACCGTTCTCTTCAAATGCAAATGCTCCACCAACTGCTGAGTATCCTTCAACCTCACTAGCATCTCGTTCGCATCCTCGTAGAATACTCCATAACGCCCGAGATCGTGCCCATCCCTTCCGGCTGCAGCATTAATTGCTGCGACGAGTCTTTCCAGTGTTGCCGTCTCGTGGGTACTTCTCCATCCGTCCCCAACATCACCAGCCTCTACCCGCATGATAGTGTCGTCCGCAATGTTAGGCATTCTGTCAATCTCTACCACGATGTCCATGGCACCAAATGTCTTCTTCTTAATTCTCCGACCTTTCACGACTGGTGGGGCTGCTGGGAGTCTTCCGCCAACCCAGCTACATCTGAGTGAGCGAATRCCATCAGGGCYAGGGTCGCGGAAAGCGTGATGTGCGCGCATCATCTGCATGGCCTTTTCAATGACCTGCAACAAGATTTCGATGCGGTAGGTGGTCGYAAGGTGGCCATTWAAGCCGTTGAAAGTCTGGATTCGATCGCGCAATGGTGGATATGCAAATGCCCAGTCGAGCACTGGTTCGTAGTACCACCGGTTTTCCTTGCTAACCGGCACGCAATAGTATGGCGTGTTGCCAGCTACGCCGGCTTCGAACTCTAGGCGCTCCGCTTCGGCTGACTTGTCATTGTTCAAATCTCCAGAAGGTTCCGGCCATGTCCAGCGCTCCGCCGGCTGGAGCAGGGCCATGTAGAGCTTCGTCTTGAAATCGTGCCATTCGTTGCAGCTGACCCAAAACGCCCGCATGAATTCCTTCCCAGTCGTCATGTTATTCTTGACATTGGCTTGGGCTCTGCACCACTCCATAGTGGGTGGCGGCTGATAACCGCCGAGCACTTTTTTATCGTCGGCTGTCGCGTTTCTTGCTTGGGTGCCCATTCTGACGATCGAGGATGGCGGAAGTTGGCGTTGGCTGTCGAGATTTTAGCATCCATTCCTGCGAGTGAGATCCATGTCACTTCACCTTGTACTTCTCAGATTCGCTCCGCTAGGAAGGCCAGTGTTTGGTCGAATATGATTGTGCAGGAGTGGGCGTGCTTCTGCCTTCGCGGTGGTGGCGATGGGGGAGGTGGTATTTTCCGGGATGATGTTGGTGGTGGTGATGGTGGTGGTGATGGTGGTGGTGATGGTGGTGGTGAGAAGGCATTGAGAAAAGAGAGGAAGTGGGGCGGCGTTCTCGAGGAGCGACGTCGAGAGTACCCTCTTGGTTGCTGGGCTCACCAATCCGGCCACATGCTGAGTTCAACAAAGAAAAAGAAGTGTACGCTCCGTCCTTGTACGCKTGCCCATTCTACGTGCGCGTCGCGTGGCAAATGCGCAGTCAAGGGCATCACACTCGTGATATCGTCTCTTGTCCCAGATTGCATGATCCCCTTACGAGTTGCAGCCGCTCCACGAACGTCCCATTCCAAACATCGCGCATAAACATCAATTTCCAACAGCACGCGCCAAAATCACCCGCGAACTTCGATCACGCGGCCGGCGTATGAAAACAACAGCAACAACAACAAGAACAACGTCAACTTGCCCAACCGCCACCCACATCGCCAGGGCAGAGGCTCACCTCGCACCAACTTCATCGGACACGCGGCTGCTCACCACACACGGCGCTTCCGACGCATGCACCATCCCTGAAAAAAGCATACGAGGGCTATTCCWTATGGGAACATCATTTCCTCTCGCCCAAGTCTTTCGCAAACAGACATCATCGCCAGCCTGAGCTTCTTCGCCAGTCCGGTCAGCAGCGAGCTCGAGTCTAGGACATTTGGAAAAAGACACCAGCGCCGGTTCCATCTCTCCCCAGCAGCTGAGACGGTGGTCAGTCTAGATCTCGTCGTCTTTCGAACGCCTGCGGCGCAATTCTGTGGGTTGTTTGCTCCTCTACCCAACCGCGGTGTGGTCCACTAACAGCTCTCTAGATTTGCCCAGCCGATTCTCGTCGAGCTGTCGTGCTCGCATACTACCATTCAAGGCGGTTGAACATTCGAACACAGCCCGTCATCCCAAGGGTCGCGATGGATGGGACATCGGACTCCAGAAAGTTCTCGTCGGATGGCCCGTTTCCACTGTACCCACAACAAGTCCAATTCAACAAGTTTACCCGTCGTCAACGCTCTCTTTTGGCGAAGAATGCCCCTAAGAGTCGACCCCACGACTTGCCAGACCGCATCCAGAAATTCCACTTCACGGATCTKCCTTTGAAACTTCAAATTGTCCTCATCATGATCCCAGAAGACGACTTCTGCAAGAGCCGTCCAGATCTCATGCCACCGGTATGTAACTTCAATTTCGAGGACGACCAGGCAGGCCCGTACTATTACAGATGGCAAGGGATATATTCCAAGAAACTCCAGCAGGCTTGTCCGCAATATTTTCTACCCACTGGTCCAATCATAGGATGGTGGGACGTGGGTCTCGTCTGGGGTGACACTCAATCATTGAGCATCATGCAAGGCTTTGCTGATACCTCATTCCCTCGCGCTCTTGAGGACCTAAGTGGCAAAATTCTCCCCATAGGTCACCCCCGTCAACGACCAGCCATCCATTTCAATCTCGCGATAGAAAACGTGCCTCGGATCACATTCTCGTCGCTGGTGAACTTTGCGTTCCTCTTCGCAACACATGGACTGATTGCCCACACGACCGTTGTTATGGAATGGTCGTACGAGGCAGAGATAAACGAGTTCGGTGAAGACAGTCATCTGGAGCTCCACCTCAGGCTCCCTGAACTATTCGATACTCTGTCGATGATTGGTCGCAAGTGGTATGCGAACCGCAATGCCCGCATAGAGCAAGACAGACGCGCAGAAGCAACCTCAAGGAGCTCAGGACCAGCGCCATGGGATTTGGCTCCGACTACTGCCGCCAGAATGAAAGCTCCTAATTTGGGAGGTGGCAATCGCCTGAAGTTCGCTCGGTTCGTATGGTCAGAGTTGTTAGCGTGTGGTGAAAAAGATACCATTCAAGGGAAATTCATCCTCAATGGACTGGGGCAACTCTCGCCTCATATCTTTGACTTCCTGCATTCATCCGCAGACAGAGCTCTCAAGAGCGAGACGAAATGGACAAGCCCAGCGGATTCTGACATTGATATGTCTGATCAATAGATATAGCCAAAGAGAAGTATCGCGCAGGATGTTGGGAAAGACACAGTGGTAGGGTAAGATAGCTATTGTAAACAGACGTTCGGAAGTTCATAAAATCAAAGCCGGAGCGCCAAGCCAGTCCACGCCGCTGTAGTACAATATAACTACTTGAAGCCTAATTCCAACTTCACGTCTTGCTAGTCGTGTATAGCAGAGCATTGCAGAACTGCCTTCGCTCGAGTCGCTCATCACGGYCACGAGAACGGAATTGTAGTCTCCATTGACGAGAGAACTACAGATGGGGCTGCATAGCCGTGACACCATCATCTCCTTCGTATAACGCATGTACGAGGCTTCGAAATAACATGATCGAATAAGCCAAACAACCTTCAACCGCAGTCGGATAGAGTGTGATTATATCCATCGCATTTCTGACTATGGCTCGCGGGCAATAGCAAGGATGCGAGAGGGGAGCATTTATGCCCTACGACGTTTTCTATCCATCAGGCCTGTGCACCTGTTTAACAGGTAGGGATTAAGCTGCGGCCACGTTCATCTAATCAAGAAGCTCTTCTATATTCCTTTTYTCTACGTCGATCTACTAAGACAAGCGTCCTGTTTGTTGAATCCATCTCAACTCGTCTCTATTTAGCCACGTCGGCAATGGCGGAGTTCTACGTGAGCTACTGTAGCGGCTGTAATAACCGTTACGGCATTTTTTATCGCTGGTACACAATGCGACCTCTCGCTAGCGATTGTATAGCGAGACAAGCGATGCTCAAGATCCACCTTCACGCTTACATCTGAGTCGCCGACCTGTTTGAAATGTTGCCAAGACTACAGTCGGCTGCTCTGTCATCCAGTCCACATGCGCATTACTCATCAAAACCCTCACTCTTGCAACAACATCACTACGACAGTGACCCAAACACCCGCACCAATCAACACGGACCGCTAGACGAGCAACATCCAGCATCATGTCAAGTGAGTTGCTTCTGACGAGCGAATGCCATCGTCGCGTCACTAACGACAATTCTCAGTTAGAAGCAATTTCCAGGTGTTCGTTGCACTTCCCGACCCTATTATCTTGACTCGCGTTGAGTTGCAAGAGTACGACGACGGTGTGCAGCCACTCAAGCTATTCGTCGGCACGATTTCGAGAGAGGCCCCCGGTTACGGACGAGGTATGACAATCGAGGTGGGGTTATTCTTCGCTGGGATATAACTGACGGCGTCAAGTCTGCGAGTACGGCCAAGTTATGGCAGATGTCTTCCTCGTGAAGTACAAAGGCATGCCTATCCAGTGGATTGAAAGCACCTCYAACAAAGACTCCATCCAGGACACGATGCACTTTCAGAYATATCTCTCTGCCAACCTCGCCACCATTTGCCTGTTGTACTACCACGCCGGTGCCCGCAACGCCTACGACATCATCACGCTCAGCGAACCACGCATGGCGAAGATGCTCTACAAGACGCTCGAGGAGATGCGTAACGAGGCTCGGCCTGAGTAATGTCCGTCGCTACACTTTCAACGTCAAACCATGAACATCAACATACATGGAGGAGAGGGTGGATGTCCATGAGAAGTGATGGAGTGCTCGGAGCAGGCCGCAAATGGGTTGATATTGCGGCTCGCGATGTAGCAACAATCATATGAACTTAYAGAAGCTACTGTCGCTCACTTCCTCCACGGTGTTTCAACATCCAAATCCATACTTCGTTTTCGTAAGACTGCCAGACTGCCCAACGCCCATAGCCCAKACTTGATCACCGTCGCAAATCCCCGCCCATCGCACGCCTTCGCCGTAGCCTTGCGAATGCAGCATCCTGGGTGCAATGTGATTGATACGATAGATGGTTTAGTGTGATTGACGTTGGAGCTCGAATTGGTTAATAGTGGTGTAGTGGCCACATGACCAAACGAGCCACGCGCTTAAGCGGTGTGTTGGTTCAAGTCACAGAGTGGTATCGGAGAATGGAAAGGGTCAGGCGATGTCCACGTAGCAGAATCCAGTGAAGGGCATCAAGTCATGAATAGACGCTGGTGACACAGCTTGGGATTGCTATGGAGGCGTTGGAGATCGAAGGCTGGTCGAGACAAGACGAAATCATACGTGCGAGCTTCGTATAGTTGTTATCGGAAAGGGGGAAGTCGTACGCCATTATGCGAGTCTCCTCAACGTGCATTGAACGCCATGACAATGGCATAGAGATCGCCGGCCAAGCAACATCGTCCTCGCTCTCCAACACCAGCATAGCAATCATCCAACTCAACCTTCAATCACAAGCCAGCCATCCACCACAGTCAGCATCCAACACAGCCAGCATCCATCACAGCCAGCATCCATCACAGCCAGCATCCATCACAGCCAGCATCCATCAAAAACCCAGTATCCATCACAGCATTCATCAAAACCCAGTATCCATCACAGCCAGCATCCATCAAAAACCCAGTATCCATCACAGCATTCATCAAAAACCCAGTATCCACCACAGCCAGCATCCATCAAAAACCCAGTATCCATCACAGCCAGCATCCATCAAAAACCCAGTATCCATCACAGCCAGCAAAGGGTAAAACAGCGAGATGGGTACTGTGTGATGACTCTGTATCTGCTACCTCAAGCCGAATCCAATTGAACAATTCAAACATACCTTACATTGAATCATCTCTTGAGACGATTTTCTGTAATGGTGCGTACGCTGTACGGCTTGTAAGGAGGTTGTTGTTTGAATTGCTGAAGGTGCGTACGCTGTACGGCTTGGAAGGAGGTTGTTGTTTGAATTGCTGAAGGTGCGTAAGCTGTACGGCTTGGAAGGAGGTTGTTGTTTGAGTTGCTGAAGGTGCGTAAGCTGTACGGCTTGTGAGGAGGTTGTTGTTTGAATTGCTGAAGGTGCGTAAGCTGTACGGCTTGTGAGGAGGTTTTCGTTTGAATTGCTGAAGGTGCGTAAGCTGTACGGCTTGTGAGGGTGTTGCTGTTTGAATTGCTGAAGGTGCGTAAGCTGTACGGCTTGTGAGGAGGTTGTTGTTTGAATTGCTGAAGGTGCGTAAGCTGTACGGCGTAGAAGAGGTCGCGTTTGGGTGGATGAAGATGCGTATAGTGTACGGCTTGGAAGGAGGTTGTTTTTTGAGTCGATGACCATGCGTACGATGCACGACTTTGGAATGACATTGGCTGCTGGAGATGCGAGCAGTGCACGGCTTGGATATGTGTCGGACTTGAATTGGCGAAGATGCGTAGAGTGTACGACTTGGATGGAGATTGGCTGCTGGAGATGCGAGCAGTGCACGGCTTGGATGTGTGNGGATGTGTGTCGGACTTGAATTGGCGAAGATGCGTAGAGTGTACGACTTGGATGGAGATTGGCTGCTGGAGATGCGAGCAGTGCACGGCTTGGATATGGGCCGGGCTCGAATTGGCGAAGATGAGTACAATGTACGACTTGGAGGGAGATGTACTGCTGAAGATGTGTACGCTGTACGACTCTGCATGATAATTAATTGCTGAAGGTGCGTGCAGTACACGGCTTAAAGAAAGAGACGGATTGCTGAAGATGCGTACGCTGTACGACTATGCATGAGGATTGATTGCTGAAGATGCGCGCATTACACGGCTCGAAGAAGGAGATGGATTGCTGAAGATGCGTGCATTACACG